CTTTCTTACATGCACATTATGCTTTCTGCTGTGTGCGATTGCTTAATTTTATGTTGATGTCGTTATTTAACGATCAATTATTATTCATTTGTTGATCTGGTATATTAATTCAATAAATTAACCTGCAACTGTTTGTATTTGGGTCTATTTACTCAGCTTGAATGACGAATGTCATAAGGTAGAATGCGCATAGCCGAAAGCCGAATGCGGCAAGCATAATGCAACGCGACATCTGGTGTAATAATATGTGATACCCAAATTATGCTAACAGGTGGCGCTACAGTTATATTCTCGGTAAAGTCCGTATTGCGGTTCGGATTCAGTTTACCAAGTTACGTCCCTTTGTTTTAAAATTTCCATTTGCACTCATGGAGAAAATATACAAAACGATTTAACCAATTTTTATATTTATTAATGAAACTCTGTAGGTCAAATTATATTTCCAGCTGACAATGACAAGTTGTACATTTCCAAATCAATAGTTTTAGAATTTTTTTTTCATCAACAAAATAATTATAAAATAGAACAGTTGTTCAACATTGTTCAAAGTGCTTGGGCCATAAAAAAACTTCTTATTAAAACATTTCATACTCTTAAAAAGTTCTCAAATTTTGACATGGCTTATTTCCAATACCTGTGACCATCCACAACATTTTTAATGTGTTTTTATTAATTAGGACATTTTCTTGCCTATTTTCAAACTAATTTTGTACACACGATAGAACCACCGCTTGGCCAGTGTGATAATTCAAACATAGTGGTTAAAACATAGGTTAAGCGCATTGACCCGGGCTGATAACATACAAATATTTTACAAATAATGCGAAATAATGTTGTAAAATCAAGAAAACTTTCGATATACATGGTACCGCATCGTGCAGAACCATGGCACCGTTTCTTTTTGCACGGAAATATCGCATTATAACCGTTTCTATCTTTTTTTCTAGGATTGATGATACCAGTTCGGGTAAGCGGGGCACGGGATGGCCTGGGCCATGAAGCAAACTACCCTCTCTGTAATTTTTGAAAGATAAATTCATATAAAACTCTCAAACTTGCTAATACAAGACACAAGCAAGTCACATACTATAACTTACGCATGCTACTGAAATAAAACGATCCTCTAAAAGCACATAATGCCTCAGAAGTCCATATGTTTTAATTCTTTATAAATGTTAAACGTGTGTTTAATAATGTTTAGATAATGGATAAAGCGCCTGTTAGGTGTTTTACAACTGTAAAAAGCAGCACTGAATATTTAGTGATGTGTTGTTAAGGTAGCAATATGTAAACTTGACTGCCATACAAAATACTTATTCACGATAATTATACCAATTGCCAACAGAACTAAAGATGCAAAAGATAGTTCAAGTATTTAGGTAATGAGTACGTTTTGGGAAACTGTAACAAGATACCAAAAATAATCAGTTTTCAAGAAATAAAAATGATAGCATTTCAGAGGCGTAATGGGCCTTTAAGAAATGTTGCAACTACATGTATGTGCTTAAGTAATTCTCCCTGTATTAATTTCTCTGTCGGCATGCTCGTACTTTTTATTGATAGACTATAATCAAACTTATGCTACAATGTATAAAACGTTTATGAACTACTGATGCTTCAGCTGCTCTTACGTTTTACACTGTTCAACCTGTACATTAAACAAATATATCTTAGTTCGGTTGTGAAGGCTACTTTCAGCTTATTAAATAAATCTGGGATTTGTTCCCGAGACCAGCAAGGACTAAGCAATAAGGGTTATGATTCTTGCTCAAGAAAACACCGAAAGGTCGCTGGCGGGGTTCGAACTTACGCCTAGACAAGTGAGCCTAGGATTACAAGTCCGACGCGCAAACCACTCGGCCATGTCCCAAACATGTACATTGCGAGTAATAAAATCTCTTTAAGGCAAGTTTTGATTGTGGTCTTACCAGATTGCTCTGGGTGTATGACTAGAACAAACATAATTAGTATTATTTGTTATAATTGCACTTACAAGTATTGAACATTTTCCTATATCAAAAATAGGTAGAGATAATAGTCATTTTGGTGTAAAAACTGACACGATATCATGAGTTTTGTACATATACATTCAGAAGCTTGTTGTTTTCCTATTTTATAGCATGTGTACACATTCATTCAGTAGCTTGTTTTATGTCCTATGCATGATACTCTGTCAGTCTAGTTCATGTAGTTTATTACTTTGAATAAGTATATGTAATTTACTGTTTAGATGAAAACATTTCAACCCATGATAACATGCTTTTGTAATTTAAAGTTTACTTTAAATTTTGTAAGAAGAAGTTAACGGATAATATGAGGTTGGACACTTTAAGGCCCTTATGTATGCCTACATACCAATCCATATAAAGCCCTACAGGTCCCATATGAGCCAACTTAACAAAAAGTTGGACAAGCCAAGGCCATTAAAAAATACAGTCCTTTCACATCGCAACCTAAGAATATGAACGATACCTGACCACCAACTCAACAAATATAGTCATATGAGCCAACTTCATATTGTCTGCGAAGACTGATATAGAATGGAGTCAAGACCCCCTTTGACTAAAGCTTCCGTCAATAAAAAAGCAAAAAAAAGTATAAAAATGATATGTTCTATATCATTTGCTGAATCTTACTATGTGTTTATCTGTATTTAATACTTCACCAGGTTTGGGATATTCGTCTTCTCCTTCTTATTATTATACACATTTGAAAAAGAAACAGTGTTTGGCTAAAATTTTATTCCAAATTCGCATGTAAAAACCTGGAAAGAATGCTCGTGCATGTCGGTCATGCATATGGAAAATATGTGTCAGATATCAGTCCGAGTTGCATAATATTATCAGTCAGTCCAGCTCATCATTTATTTTTCTCCATGATGCATATAATGGTCTCATTTGCCTCCCGTGCATCAAAATTTTATCATCACAAAAATCGACTTGCATGTATATTTAGTATCATTCAGTGAATTACTGAATTCAAAATTTACAGGTCACCTTTTGGTTGATACATGTAGTAACATTTAAGGACATGAATGGTGACATGTCCGGGGTCCGTACTCTCAGTGCCTGAAAGGGCGTATGGACCATCATTAAGCCTAGAATACATACATACATTTTAGAATAGGTAATCATAGACTGCTAGTAGAAACATGTAGGTGGCGCAATTGTACACTACCTTATGAAGAAAGAAAGTGCACGTTATGTTCCCGAAATGACGTGGGTGACGAATTTCACTATCTTCTTAAATGTCCCTTTTTACTGACGAAATAATAAAATATATTCCGAGAAGGTTCTATAATAGGACAAATGTAATCAAATTTAGGGAACTTATGTCCGCAGAATTTTTAGCCGTCCTAAATAATTTAAGTACTTTCTTATACTTAATAATTTACTTTTCAGAAATACTATAGAATATTATTCAGTTACTTACCCGTGTATTATATGCATGTTTAACTCCATGTTTTCGCCATCTCAAGCAGACGATTATTTTAATCGTTTGGATTTATTTGCTATTGTCATTTAATGTTAACTTATTTTCTCTAGTACTTAAAGGGTTTTTTGACATGATGGGACTGAAAATATTTTTTCCAGATAAATGTGCCATTTGATGTAGGTTTAGACAACTAATCATTCCTCAAAATTTCAGTTCATTTGCGCAATTCGTTTTTCCAGAATAATTATTCAAATTGTAAAAAGATGACCCAAAATGAAAAACATTTAAACGCTTTTCACTCAAATCGGGCTAAGAAAAGCATAAAAATACGATTTTCAATTTATTTCAAAGTATATTTCTTAACTATCTTTGCATATAGTTCTGTTTAAAATGCCCCAGCTCATTCATGTAAGAAATTCAAATGTTATGTTTTTTAGGCTTTTAAACCTCAGTGGAGTCCCTTTAAATACCATGTAGTATCTTTATCACACACCCGTGCCGATTTTGCGACTCCGTAAATATGGTATTGCACACAGGCAAAAGTATCGGACCTGGGAAGAAAAAATATGACCAGATTGATAAAAAAACCTGTGTTCATCTTAAAAGTGTCAAAAAAAAAACAAAAAAAAAATGTATATAATGACCCCCTTTAAAAAATACTATAAGTTAAGAGAAGGCCGGAAACTCCAGATTCGAGCCTACGAGCAAGGGATTCATTTCCCGGGCCGTTGTGAAAACAATTGGCCAGACAATTAAAAAAAACTTTTATCACTATTTCACGTTTTTATAAAGCTTTAAAATGAGACCAACCCCAAGTCTCTAGCCCTTCCCGTTCGTGAAATATCTATCAGGAAACGAGCGACTTCGTGCTTAAAATCCTTGGTAGACATAATTGCGGCACAACAATTAGGTACATAAACATAGACTAATACATGTATGTCAGCTGACTACGGGTCAAAATTACTTGAATTTACTAAATAATATTACTAAATACATTAAGTTGGACCACTCACTCTTCCCAGGTCCGATACTTTTGCCTGTGGTATTGCACGGCCGTGCATATATTTTGATGTGACGTCATTAGCGTTATTTAAACATACAGTAGTGTAAAGACGCGCTAACGGGAAATGTTAGCGTTATACTATAGAAGCGTCAAAGAAAAATGACTCTTATTTTACCTTAAGCGGTCTTTATTTTGGGTATGTGATAAATAGAACATTAAATTCGTGTAACTTCATTCCTGAATTTATTGCACTCGTTGAATAAAATATTTTTTTTTCACTATGCTCGCCAGAGGCTCGCATAATGTAATTTTATTCAACTCGTGCAATAAATTCAGTATTGAACTTACACTCATTCAATATCCTCTATATATAAACTCTTATCAATCTCAGTTGATTGGTCTTACATGAATTTTAAATGTACATTGTATATGATTTTTATGTACTACATGTATGTTTGTAAATGTGAGAATCTAAAGCGACTTAAAGACATTTTCTACAGTTTTAGGAAAATTTAACCTTTTCATAGAATTTTTTTATTTTTCTGTATTATAAGTAAAATTCAATGATGAATTCAAATATGAAAAAAAAAAATATATGTTGGCGTGTTGGTTTTTTTGCAAAATGGCAGTTTCCATGGTAACGGTATATCTCAAAATGGTTAAAATGGCCATATTTTCTATAAAATTAAAAAAAATGTTTCAGACAGCTAAATATACACAACAAACATTATTTTGTACATATATAACTTTATCATTTAATTCTATATGAAGTAAACAATGACTTGAACATATTTCTTTACAAAATGACTTTTTCATATTTCTCAACTTGACAAAAAATTAGAAAAATCACTATGAATTCTGTAAAAAAATAAAGATATAAAAAAAACCCTTTCATAGAATTTTCTATATCTTTCATATGTTATGTAAAATTCAATGGTGAATTCAAAAATGAAAAAAAAAATATATGTCGGCGAGTTGGTTTTTCGGCCAAATGGCAGTTTCCATGGTAACCCAATATCTCCAAAATTTCAAAATTGCCACATTTTCCTTATAAATCAATAAAAAAGTACATGGCAACAAAATATCAACAACAAACAGGACTTCATACATAAATATCTTTATATTTTGATGCTGTATTGATTCAGAACATATCTATTTCTCTACAAAATAAGTTTTTCATATTTCTCAACTTGACAAAAAATTAGAAAAATCACTGTGAATTCTGTAAAAAAATAAAGATATAAAAAAAACCCTTTCATAGAATTTTCTATATCTTTCATATGTTATGTAAAATTCAATGGTGAATTCAAAAATGAAAAAAAAAATATATGTCGGCGAGTTGGTTTTTCGGCCAAATGGCAGTTTCCATGGTAACCCAATATCTCCAAAATTTCAAAATTGCCACATTTTCCTTATAAATCAATAAAAAAGTACATGGCAACAAAATATCAACAACAAACAGGACTTCATACATAAATATCTTTATATTTTGATGCTGTATTGATTCAGAACATATCTATTTCTCTACAAAATAAGTTTTTCATATTTCTCAACTTGACAAAAAATTTGAAAAATCACTATGAATTCTGTAAAAAAATAAAGATATAAAAAAAATCCTTTCATAGAATTTTCTATATCTTTAATATGTTATGTAAAATTTAATGGTGAATTCAAAAATGAAAAAAAAAATATATGTCGGCGAGTTGGTTTTTCGGCCAAATGGCAGTTTCCATGGTAACCCAATATCTCCAAAATTTCAAAATTGCCACATTTTCCTTATAAAATCAATAAAAAAGTACATGGCAACATAATATCAACAACAAACAGGACTTCATACATAAATATCTTTATATTTTGATGCTGTATTGATTCAGAACATATCTATTTCTCTACAAAATAAGTTTTTCATATTTCTTCACTAAACAAAAAAAATTAGAAAACTGAACATGAATCCTGTAAATAAATAAAGATATCAAGAAATTTCTTTCATGAAATTTTCTATTTTTTTAATATATTATGTGAAATTCAATGGTGAATTCAAAAATAAAAAGAAAAATATATGTTGACGTGTTAGATTTTTTATAAATTGGCAGTTTCCATGGTAACGGCAAATACCAATTATGTCAAAATAAGCATGCTTTCTTAAAAACAATAAATTGTACCAAATGCATTGTTATATATAATTATACAAACTTATTACAAATGACCTTTTCTTTTGATGTTATATGAAGTGAATCTGAACATTATTTTTTAAACAAGTCTACCATATTTATTTCTTTTCAAAGTATCTCGACAATAAAATCATTTCAAAAGTAAGTATTCCACAAAAAATGAAAATACTTGAACAAAATATTGCTTTCATAAATTCATATAGTTACTATGTTCTTATGGTTATTCTTTAAATGCATTATTCAAAATAAAATACTATTAAACTCTTTAGTAACAGACATGCATTTTTCTAGTTTCCATAGTAATCATTCCACTAATTATACAAAAAGTAGCAAATTAAAAAAAAGAAATTTTTCAAGAACACTGCTTGAAATAATCATGTTTAGTTTAGTACATATTTCTAGACAATTGCAGTTATGTTGATACTAACTTTGTTCAACTGTTTATTTTATTGTAACCACATGTATATTTTGCATTCAGGAGTTACACATATCAATGTACACATAGATTTGAGATGTTTATAAGTTCAAATCAGAAGTCGGACATACATAACTGAACACACTGTCTATTATTCTCTTGGCAGAGGTAACCCTCACTTTTCCATTTACTTTCTCCGTAAATAATTTGTATAAACCATCGCGACCTCCACGATTTACTGCCAGTCTCAGATGTGCTAACGACAAACCACTTTTGGCTATTTTCATTGCCATTTGTTTACTTACAATTTTTTCCTGTTGCATATTACTTAGAGATACCAAGTTTACATCAGCTTTCTTTTCAAATATGTATGTGTCTATTGCTGCATCCATTGTTATACTATGACAACACATCTGGTCAAAGGGTATTTCAGTATATATGATAAGTTTCTGTAAACTACACACATCTTCAAGGGCATTATGAGCAGAATATTGAGCATTCATTAAATTCTTTACAAGATATTCTTGACTATATTTATCTAAACCTGGAAATTGTTCTTTACACAAAGGCAGAGTATCCACAAAACCTATTACACAGTTTTGAAAAGAGGTTAATAAATTACATAGTTCAAATGACCTTACTAGCCTTGGGAAGTCAAAAATTCTAAAATTATGACCTATCAATACACATGGATTTCTTTTTTCTAACCAAAGTAAAAATTGTTCCAAGGCTGTTCTTAGAGACACTGCATTAATTAAAGAATGTCTGTTTCATGTATTGATATGTGTCTTGGTTTTTAATTATTATAAAATATATTTTTTTAAAGTTGTTGGTAATAAATGCTTTTTTTATAATATATTTAAAAAAAAGTTTTGATTACTGTTTTCCTACTATTTTAGCCTCATTATTTGCAAAATCGTAATTAGATTAATTTATCAATTCTTTCATTCATTTATTGAATATTTACTATCACATATCACTGGTATAAACCACGTAAAGGTAATTAAGGCTTATTCTAAACTGAAAATGGAATCGATATGGCACAGTGCTGAAACGTCCGGGACCGGACTGTCTTTGGTAATTTAGGACCGAAACGTCATGGTACCGAAATGACTCGTGATATTGACATGTACACCGGTCAAAATGGCGCTTATGTTTACTTCCACCCCCAGGTTTGTAAGACCTAAATATTTGTTCTAAGACGATTTAAACATTTCTTTATATTGTAAACTAACTTTGATGACACTATTATAAATGAAATAAGTCATTGTAGGCCTTGACAAGGCTCTATTTTGAGGAAATTTTGATAAATGACGAAAATCCTACGTATTGCTCGGATATGATTTTTTGGATAAAAATATTATGTCTTCATTATTTAGATAATCACTGTCCATCGCCGACATGATTCCATATTATTTTTTTGTCGTTGCAAACAAGAATAAACTAAAAAAACCGAAAGCATAAAATGCTGTGAAGGAAAGTTTATATTTTATGATCTTTTTTAGTTTTAAAATATTCTTTGCTTTTTTACTTTAATTTTGGAAGGAAGTGGCTAGCCATACGGGCCCGTACGTCTAGCCAAAACTTCTAGTCGTACGTGAGTCACGTAGGCCTACAACTAGCCAGAACGCACTGTATTGGCTAGCCGTACGGCCCTTTTCAAAATTATATCAAAGTCGAAAATGCATTTGATATTTTATGACTTTAAGCGAGGATTTTAACCAAGAAACAGCAATTATCCCGAATGTTTACCTTTTAAAGATTAATCGCCATGTTGGCTACAGTAAAGCAACTACAAATGATATTGATCTTTGTCATCTCCAGATGTAGTTCTGGCTTCCATAACTTTATATGTCTCTTTTATTTCCACGTTGTGCAACAGTAAAGTCAGGTCTAGCCTTACTATAAAACCTGTTCGCTGACGTCTCTTTAGCTTCTCCAGATGGTGAGAAAAAAGAGCATTTTGGTTGCAATTGAATAACATCAATTGAAATAGTTTACAAAATTGTGATAATAATTAGGGCTGTCATTGATTGAAAATTTTGTATCGATATATCTAGAGACAAATATCGACAATACATCAATATATCGACTTTGACAGTAGATACAATGAAAATCATTTATATATGTGTTATAAATTGGGATCATAGTGTTATGCATGCTTGTATTACACATTACAAATACTACAAACTAACAGAAAGTTTGTTTTTTCTGTTATTCTTGTCACTGACATTTGAAAACAGAGTTTAAAGTTCAAGTTACAGCCAAGAAAACTAGAAAAAAGTGACTTCTCTTATAAGCCAAAATAGAGAGGTATATTAACTAACAGAAATAAAAATTTTTTTAGCTTGTATCGATATGTGAAAGTGTGTATCGATATTGTATCGGATGATGAATATCGATGATATATCGATATCGCGATATTCAATGACAGCTCTAATAATAATCCTGTTTAGTTTCAGTAAGTTTAATTTTCAACAGCTTTAAAAATGAAAAAAAAGCACCGAAAATAATTGTTGTTGGGTTCTGATAATTGTGTCAATTACGGACAGTAGATCAAAGTTTGTCCATTATTGAGGAAAGTTTGCATTGTTCCGTGAAATGCATTCTAAAATTCTATTCCCCGAGTAGGCTTAAATTTACTTGATTGTGCTTTTATGTTCGATATTCATCTATGTACTGTTATTTAAAAGGTATACAATCTGAATTGTTTTTTGCTTTTCACCGTTTTTTTTTTTTTCAATGTTCTGTTTTTTTATTTATTTATTCCACTCTGAGCACACTGTTATGAAAGAAGCTTCTTTTGCCAAGCTTCTTTTGCCAAGCTTCTTTTGCCGTTAATTATGATTATTTATTCCATGTACTTAATTAACAAAAATGATTTAATAATTCATCTTTCATACAAATGAATTATTTAATCATAAGTATAACTTTGCATGTAATTTGTATAATGCATCATGAAACTTTGACACTTTTTTTCAAGATTACAACGCTTGCATTACCTTCGTACTCATTTTTTTTTACAAAATGGTGGAGCATCTTTATTAACAAACTCCTCACAGTGATAACCTCCCTTGGCAAAATAGTTTGTGTAGCAAGCGAAGGGAGACAACTGTGTCAGAGTTTGCATTATTAAAAGGAACACACAAGGACAAATGCGGGTACTTGGTTAAAATCCTCATTTAAAGACACAAAATAACATATGCATATTTGACTTTCATAATAATTTTGAATAGTGCCATATGGCTGGCCAAAACAGTGTGTCCTAGCAAGTCGTACGTGACTCACGGAAGACTAGCACTTTTGGCTAGCTGTATGGGGCCACTTCCATTTTGGAAATACCTTTTAGCTCACCTGTCACAAAGTGACAGGGTGAGCTTTTGTGATCGCTTTTCGTCCGGCGTCTGTCTGTCCGGCGTCCGTAAACTTTTACTTTAAATGACATCTCCTCATAAACCACTAAGCCAATTTCATCCAAACTTCACAGGAATGTTCCTTTGGTGGTCACCTTTAAAAATTGTTCAAAGAATTTAATTCCATGCAGAACTCTGGTTGCCATGGCAACTGATAGAAAAAACTTAAAAAATCTTCTTTTAAAAAAACCCAAAGAGGTAGAGCTTAGATATATGGCATGAAAACATCTTGTAGTGAGTGTCTATCAAGTTTGTTCAAATAAAAGCCCTGGGGTCAAAATTGGCCCCACCCCAGGGGGTCATTGATTTTCCCTAATTGCATATAGTAAAAACTTAAAAAATCTTCTTTTAAAGAACCCAAAGAGCTAGAGCTAAGATTTTTATCATGAAACATCTTCTAATGGGTGTCTACCAAGTTTTCAAATAAAAGCCTTGGGGTCAAAATTGGCCCCGCCCCAGGGGATCATTGATTTTCCCTTTATGCATAAAGTAAAAACTTAAAAATTCTTCTTTTAAAGAACCCAAAGAGCTAGAGCTAAGATATTTAGCATGAAACATGTTCAAATGGGTGTTTACCAAATTTGTTCAAATAAGAGCCCTGGGGTCAAAATTGTCTAAGCCCCGGAGATCATTGATTTTCCTTATATGTATATAGCAAAAACTAAAAAAAAATCTTCTTTGAAAAAACCCAAATAGCTAGAGTTTAAATACTAAGCATGAAACATCTTCTAGTGAGTGTCTACAAAGTTTGTTCAAATAAAAGCCCTGGGGTCAAAATTGGCCCCGCCCGGGGGGTCATTGATTTTATTTATGTGTATAGCAAAAGCTTAAAAAATCTTCTTTTAAAAAAACCCAAATAGCTAGAGTTTAGATATTAAGCATGAAACATCTTCTAGTGAGTGTCTACAAAGTTTGTTCAAATAAGAGTTCTGGGGTCAAAATAGGCTCTGCCCCGGGGGACATTGATTTTCCTTATATGTGTATAGCAAAAACTTAAAAATCTTCTTTGAAAAAACCCAAATAGCTAGAGTTTAGATATTAAGCATGAAACATCTTCTTGTGAGTGTCTACAAAGTTTGTTCAAATAAAAGCCCTGGGGTCAAAACTGACCCTGCCCCAGGGGTGTCATTGATTTTAACTATATGTGTATTATAGTAAAAACTTAAAAAATCTTTTTTAAAAAACACAATGAGCTAGACCTTAGATGTTTAGCATGAAACATCCTCTAATGGGTGTCACAAAGTTTGTTCAAATAAAAGCCCTGGGGTTTAAACTGGCCCCGCTCTGGGGGCCTATATACAGGTGAGCGACTTCTGGGCCATCATGGCCCTCTTGTTTATGGAATTGTTTCCATTTCAGCATCAGAAAGGCTGTAGGTCTGATCAATGAGGTTGATCAAGGCAAATTCCCATTAGTTGTTTCTAGAATTTTACAGAAATTACATTTAAAGGTAAGTTTGTTTTGAGAATTAATTAAATAAACATTAGTGGACACACGTATATGTACCTTATGAAAAACCATGCATGTGAACTCTCCCACTTTTAGCGGGAGATTTCCACTTTCTGCAGCCATATTTTCAAATATTTTTCTTAAGATAAGGTGTATTTTCACAAATTAAGGCAATCTTCCTATTTTTGATGCCAGAACTTCCTTCTTTGTTCATTGCAAATTCTACTTGATCATCAAAATAAGTTCACATGTATGATGAAAAACTAGAAAAAATTTGATTGTGTTTTGAACTGTTTTGAAACTATTGTTAGATTGTAATTAACTTGTTTAATGAAACAGCAAACACAGTTTATCCTCATGCAAGTAATAATTATTTTATAGACCGTGACAATTATTTTTGAAAAATTGTGTTCATACTAAAAATTCTGCTTTTTTCATGCCATCATAATGAATTGATGATGGAAGTCACTCTTGTTTTTTTAACATAAGTCTTATGTTCTTGTAAAAAAAAAGTTAATTTATCATTTTTAGGATGAGAGAACATTTTCGGAAGATGAGGAAGAGAAGTTGCAAGGCACGCTTGGTATGTCAGGACCAGATCTTGAATTACTGCTACAGACATTGGAGTTTTTCCTACAACAGGTTTCCCAGACTTGAAATACAACCTTGTATACAGAATTTACAAGATGTCATGTGAATCTGTTTATCATGTCCCCAGCCCCCTCCAAAAATGGGAATAAGTAAAGTTTTTGTATCATCTATCTGTTTGATGACTGAATAGGGGGCCATCTAACTGTAAACAGAGCAAAAGAGAACAATAGATTAGAATTCATACAGTAACAATAGAATAAATTAAGGGGCCATTGGCCCTCTATTAAACACAAGAAAATAACAAAAGAAATGGCCTCTTATTCCATTTCATTTTGGCTGGATTTCCATGCTTCCGTCCAAACTTTGTCCAGACAATATAGCTTTTACATTTATAGATGGATTTTTAAAATAATTTTTGTATAAATGTGTAGCACATTAGGAAAATGTGTCATGTACAACATCTTCATTTAAACTTGAGGCTCACATTCTAACTTCAAATTCTACTCATTTGCACCACACCTCTGTTTGGTGGGATTGTCTCATGTGAGGAAGTTATCTAGTGAGATTGTAGAAGGACAATGAGTCAATTAACAGCTGTTTTCCTGATACATTATTAGTCCCCTACCGGTTTAACCGGAGGGGATTTTAGGTTTACCCTCCGTCGTCTGTCTGTCTGTCTGTCTGTCCGTCCGTCCGTCTGTCTGTCTGTCTGTCAGTCCGTCCGTCCACAAAACTGGATCCCGCGATAACACAAAAAGTACTGAAAATATTTTAATGAAACTTGATATATGGATAGATGGCAGTATGGAGATTATTCACGTCTTTTTTTTTTCTTCTTATGTTGAAAATTCTGGTTGCTATGGCAACAAATAGCCTGAAAATATGGCAAATTGAACACATAAACTGGATCCCGCGATAACGCAAAAAGTACTGAAAATATTTTTATGAAACTTGATATATGGATAGATGACAGTATGGAGATTATGCACGTCTTTTTTTTTTCTTCCTATGTTGAAAATTCTAGTTGCTATGGCAACAAATAGCCTGAATTTCAAGATTTCTGATTTAAAATTTTCAGCTTTTTCACCATAAGTTCTTTATTTCTTAAGGTGTTTACTTCAAACTTTAAATATAAGTTTCTGATCATCAACCACATCATATGTGACAAGGTTTACAACTCTAGCACAAAAATTATCAGTATTACCTCCCTTGAACTTAGAATTTTTATGAAAAAAATGTTGTCTTTTTAGCTCGACTTTTCTATGAAAAGGGGAGCTATCCTACTCGCCCCGGCGTCGGCGTCGGCGTCGGCGTTGGCGTCACACCTTGGTTAAGTTTTTCGTACCACCCCACTTTATTTCAGAAGTATTACAAGTATGGCTTTGAAACTTACCATACTTGTTCACCATCATAACCTCCATCTACAGACAAGAGTACATAACTCTGTCAAGGTTTTTGACAGAAATTATGGCCCTTTTTTGACTTAGAAAGTGTATTGAGCTTGGTTAAGTTTTTTGTACCACCTCACTTTATTTCAAAACCATTGGAGGTATTGCTTTGAAACTGACCATACTTGTTTACCATCACGACCTTCATCAACAGACAAGAGGACATAACTCTGTCAAGGTTTTTGACAGAATTATGCCCCTTTTTGACTTAGAAAATACATTGAATATGGGTAAAATCCACTTATTGCCTTAACCCTTTGAGATATTGCTTTGAAACTTTTAATGCTATTTCACATCATTACCCCCATCTGTACGCAAGAGAAGGTAACTCTGTCAAGGATTTGTTTTAAAAATTAAGGCCTTTTATCGACTTAGAATCTTGGTTAAGTTTTTAGTACCAGTCCACTTTTTGACTGAACTGTTTGAGATATTAATTTGAAAGTTGGAATACTTGTTTACAATCATGATTCCCAAACATGTCCAGGAGAAGGTAATTCTGTCAAAGATTTTATTTGAATTATGGCCCTTAACTGTCAATGTTTTGTATTATAGGCAAGCACTAAAAAACTTAAAAAATCTAAAAAAATTCATTCCTATCCACTTGTTCACTTTACCATAAATTATGTCATATAAACATTGCTGTAATATTCAAGGGTATCAAACAACTAGTTATTTTTCTCTTTTTGTACTTGAAATTAAAATCAGTAGTATATGCATATTTCACATTTTATCTCGCCTATTTGATTGGTGGACAAGGGTATCACACAATTCAGTAAAATAATTCTTCACTAAATATCTTAATGCTCATGGCCATTGTTCACTTTAAAAATACAGAGATTCTTGTATTGCCTTTTACTGCAAAAACTTTTTTTATTGGCAAGCAATAAAAAAGTCGAGCGCGCTGTCTTACGGACAGCTCTTGTTTAAATAACTTCTTTATTTCCTAATGTATCTACTTCAAACTTCATATATATGTTTCTTATTATCACTCAACATTTTTGAATGGGTTAAATACTCTAGCAAGACTATTTCCAGAATTATGTCCCCCTTGAACATAGATTTTTTTCAAGAAATTGGTATTTTTCACTCCAACTTCTTCATTCCTTATAGGATTTACTTTAAAATCCCACATCGTAATAATATGACAAGATTGTATAAACATAGTTTCCTAACTAGGCAGGGAAACTTAACACATTACTGTGAATTAGACAAACTTAGAACTCAAAAGATTCAAGTTCATTCATGTCTTTCATTCACTGGTAAAATTGACTGGCCGATGGCCCATCAGAAAGTTGCTGGGGTTCTAACCGGTAGGGGACTTATGGATTGCTTGCAATACTATGATAATTGCTTGTTTACATAAATTCATAAATATTACATAAATATAAACTACATAAAATTATAAATTGATATAAATTTACTATAGTTCATAGATTATTTAAATGTTTAATTACATAAAACATAAAATCATTAATTACATTAATTTGTAATTACATAGTTGATTTATATAAGAAATACAAATATTATGTTTTTAGGCTTTGAAGCTCAGTAGAGTGTCGATAAACCTTCACTCAAATTGTTATTATATGCATCAATGTAACGAAAAAGTAACTTTTTTGGTATGTTATTTCAGTCAGCTTACCACACAGCCAAGCCAGCAGCACTCTCTCAACAATTGTCTCAACTAGGAATGGATCAAGACAAGGTTTTGTATTTTTTTCACTTACTATCAAAATTTATAATATATTAGTCTATTTACTGTCATTACCAGGTTTTTTATTTCACAGGTAAGGTCAAGGGGACTTCTCTTTAGGGGAAAATAGCAATGTATTTTTGCGAAAGGGGTAAGAAAAAACTTTTTGTAAAGTGAACTTTAAGGCAAAACTGCACAGTTTAGAAGTATTTTCTTAGGGGGAAGCTGTCTTAAAAGGCATCTCTTATAGAGGAAAAAGCTCTGAGTATGTAGAGTTTGATTCATAGTGGGTATAATGGTCCAGTGGTAACACTCTGACTACAAATTCCAAAGTCATTAGTTTAAGCCTTGGTTCTCCAACTTCATGTATAATTATATATAATATTATATATCCGAAGTGTTTTGGATGAGATTTTATACACCACTGTGTAATGGTGCTTTATGATTTGCATGTAAAAAAACAGTGTAAAAATTTAAAGCCAGATTTAGATTTAGCCAGTGGCTACTAGGTTGACCAAACAGTAAGTAGTTTCAGGCTCAATGCTTGTGACTCACATGGCAGGCTATAAATGTGGCTTACAACATCCATACAAGGGCATGATATCTTAAATAGGATTACTAAACTGTTCAAGAAAAGTCACTCAACCCGGGTAACTAATTGTTAACAAATAGTCAAAGGGAAGTAACTCCAAAAGGTCTAAGTATACTAATTGTTACAAGCTGAACCCTATTTTAATAGTAATCAAGAACATTAGCATTAGTTTGTAATATACAAACATTCTTTTTATACAAAACAGGTTGATACCATTGTTGAATCATGGACCACGAAAGGACGGGAAGTTATACAGAATCTAAGACAAAGGGCTCTAATGCCAAATCAAGCAAGTCTTTCTAATAGTTTTGATATCATTATTATCATAAAATCATATAGTAAGACTAATTATGCCCCCACTTCGAAGAAGAGGGGGTATATTGCACTTGTCGGTCCGTAGACCAAATGGTTTCCAAGTGATAACTAAAGAACCCTTAGGCCTAGGAACTTCAAACTTGGTATGGTGATTGGTCATGACCTGTAGATGACCCCTATTGATTTTGGGGTCAAAGGTCAAGGTTACATTGACCTTGTAAGCAAAAACGGTTTCCGATCAATAACTAAAGAACCCTTAGGCCTAGGAACTTCAAACTTGGTATGGTGATTGGTCATGATCAGTAGATGACCCCTATAGATTTGGGGGTCAAGGGGTCAAAGGTCAAGGTCACATTGACCTTGTAAGCAAAAACGGTTTCCGATCAATAACTAAAGAACCCTTAGGCCTAGGAACTTCAAACTTGCTATGGTGATTGGCCATGACCAGCAGGTGATCCCTATTGATTTTGTGGTTAAGGGGTCAAAGGTCAGGTCACATTGACCTTGTAGGTAAAAACGGTTTCCGATCAATAACTTAAGAACCCCTAGGCCTAGGGACTTCAAACTTGATATGGTGATTGGTCATGATCAGTAGATGACCCCTATTGATTTTTGGGTCAAGGGGTCAAAGGTCAAGGTCACATTGACCTCTTAGGTAAAAACGGTTTCTTGATCAATAACTAAAGAACACTTAGGCCTAGGACCTTCAAACTTTGTATGATGATTGGTCGTGACCAGTAGATGTCCCCTATTGAACTTTGGGTCAAGGGTTCAAAGGTCAAGATCACATTGACCTCTTAGTTAAAAACGGTTTCTGATCAAAAACTTAAGAATGCTTAGGCCTAGGAACTTCAAACTTAAAAGAACGCTTAGGTCTAGGAACTTCAAACTTGGTATGGTGATTGGTCATGACCAGCAGATGACCCCTATTGATTTTGGGGTCAAAGGTCAAGGTTACATTGACCTTGTAAGCAAAAACGGTTTCCGATCAATAACTAAAGAACCCTTAGGCCTAGGAACTTCAAACTTGGTATGGTGATTGGTCATGATCAGTAGATGACCCCTATAGATTTAGGGGTCAAGGGGTCAAAGGTCAAGGTCACATTGACCTTGTAAGCAAAAACGGTTTCCGATCAATAACTAAAGAACCCTTAGGCCTAGGAACTTCAAACTTGCTATGGTGATTGGCCATGACCAGCAGGTGATCCCTATTGATTTTGTGGTTAAGGGGTCAAAGGTCAAGGTCACATTGACCTTGTAGGTAAAAACGGTTTCCGATCAATAACTTAAGAACCCCTAGGCCTAGGGACTTCAAACTTGATATGGTGATTGGTCATGATCAGTAGATGACCCCTATTGATTTTTGGGTCAAGGGGTCAAAGGTCAAGGTCACATTGACCTCTTAGGTAAAAACGGTTTCTGATCAATAACTAAAGAACACTTAGGCCTAGGACCTTCAAACTTTGTATGATGATTGGTCGTGACCAGTAGATGTCCCCTATTGAATTTTGGGTCAAGGGTTCAAAGGTCAAGATCACATTGACCTCTTAGTTAAAAACGGTTTCTGATCAAAAACTTAAGAATGCTTAGGCCTAGGAACTTCAAACTTAAGAACGCTTAGGTCTAGGAACTTCAAACTTGGTATGGTGATTGGTCATGACCAGCAGATGACCCCTATTGATTTTGGGGTCAAAGGTCAAGGTTACATTGACCTTGTAAGCAAAAACGGTTTCCGATCAATAACTAAAGAACCCTTAGGCCTAGGAACTTCAAACTTGGTATGGTGATTGGTCATGATCAGTAGATGACCCCTATAGATTTGGGGGTCAAGGGGTCAAAGGTCAAGGTCACATTGACCTTGTAAGCAAAAACGGTTTCCGATCAATAACTAAAGAACCCTTAGGCCTAGGAAAAAAACTTGCTATGGTGATTGGCCATGACCAGCAGGTGATCCCTATTGATTTTGTGGTTAAGGGGTCAAAGGTCAAGGTCACATTGACCTTGTAGGTAAAAACGGTTTCCGATCAATAACTTAAGAACCCCTAGGCCTAGGGACTTCAAACTTGATATGGTGATTGGTCATGATCAGTAGATGACCCCTATTGATTTTTGGGTCAAGGGGTCAAAGGTCAAGGTCACATTGACCTCTAAGGTAAAAAACGGTTTTCTGATCAATAACTAAAGAACGCTTAGGCCTAGGACCTTCAAACTTTGTATGATGATTGGTCGTCACCAGCAGATGTCCCCTATTGAATTTTGGGTCAAGGGTTCAAAGGTCAAGATCACATTGACCTCTTAGTTAAAAACGGTTTCTGATCAAAAACTTAAGAATGCTTAGGCCTAGGAACTTCAAACTTAAGAACGCTTAGGCCTAGGAACTTCAAACTTGGTATGGTGATTGGTCATGACCAGCAGATGACCCCTATTGATTTTGGGTCAAGGGGTCAAAGATCAAGGTCACATTGACCTTGTAGGTAAAAACGGTTTCTGATCAATAACTAAAGAATGCTTAGGCCTAGAAACTTCAAACTTGGTATGATGATTGGTCATGACCAGTAGATGACCCCTATTGATTTTGGGGTCAAGGGGTCAATGTCATATTGACCTTGTACTTAATGACGGTTTCTGACCAATAACTCAACAACTCAAGTTGCCTTGGTTGATATTTTTATATTAAACTAAAAATGCTTTTGGTATACACATCTGAAGGTCTGATGTAATATAACAACTTGGCTGTCATTAATGAGGCCTACATGATTCATAAAATGTATGCATATATTATTTGGTAAGATTTGTAATAACTTAAATTGCTGCACACAACCTATGGGGTCACAATAATTATTACCTTGTGACTAGTCATGACCAGTAGATACTAGATATTAAATCCTTATTAATTGTTTGTTCACTGGGTCAGAAGTCATGCATAATAACCTGATCACATGACTAATTGGCTGCCGATAGGGGGCATACATGTTTTACAAACATATCTTGTTTAAATTAACAGTTTGATATTATAAATATATCATTAAATATCAAAGTCTTTTAAGAATATGAAACTTTTATTTTGAATACATGCATAACAAGATTTTTACATGTCTTTGGTATCGTCAATTTCTAAATTAATCAATGATATTTCATTTGTAGAATCAATTATATTTTGAGAATTTAACTCTAGAATCTTAAGAAATTTTCAACCGAGTATTAAATTTAAAAGGAAGAATAAACTTTTGCTTTGGGATAAAAGTTATCTATTTATAAAAGGGCATTCATAAAGGGACTACATTTTTGTTCAGTTAAAGGTTTTAAATTGATTGCATCTAACAATTTACAATGTATAAATTTTGCTTTCAATTACAGTTAACAGATATAAATTGGAGATTAAATTTACAAATGGCCCAATCAATGGAAACGAAGCAGAAATTACCAAATGCTATGTTTGAACTTGGTGTCCATCGTGAAGGGCAGGAAGATAAAGAAAAGATACGAATGGAGTTCACTCATGATGAATTATATCAATTTTACAATCAGGTATTATTTAAAAGAATGAGTAAATCTGTATTTACATCACAGTGTAAAATTTAAAATTAAAATTGTTACAGGTCTGGTCAGTGCATTGAAAAGATTTTTTTTCTGGTGCCAAAACAAGAAACCTTCTCGTTGGTAACTGGCAGTCAGTTCCTTTGAAACTTGTAGTAACAAACCAGCCCTTGAAAAGTTAATAAAATGTAATTAATATCCTGATATTGTTAAAGGGCTTCATTGTATGTCAGTAGTTATGGTCATGTCACTTGTAATCACTTGCCTCTCACCACAGTGGGTTTAAATCCCACTAGGTACTTTGATTCTTTTATGTAAGACAGCTCAGCATCTAGTAGATCTGTGGATCTACTGATGTGCAGGAAATAATTCGGATGGGGCTTCTGAAGCCATCCTTTTCACGAGTGAAGCTGCTGTCAACATATATACTTTACAGTACTGACGGAAAACTAAAAGAGACTTTAAAAAAAAAAATTTTAGTGTTAACATTGGCATCTATTTTTCATTTCAGTTGGAAACTATTCAGAAACAGATTGATGGTTTAAGCTGATAGTTTAAACCAAGATTAGAGGTAGTCCAGCCAAAGTCTTCTTTCACTTCAATGTCTTGTTTGAAATATATGTGGAACAATGTTATCCATTCCATTTAACTTTGCATAAGTAGAAAAGACATTGTTATGGTGTAGTAGGCTACACATTTCTTGTATTTGAATACATTCATTTAATTCAATCATTTGTAGAAGTTAAATTATTTTACATGTCAGTATGTTAAGAAATTTTAACGTTCATTCTCCTGAGAACTTGATAATGTTTTTAGATTTGCATTTATTGAAATACATGTATGATGTATAATTACTCAGTTTTCTGCCCAAAAGTCTGTGTTACTGCTGTCAGGACATATATTATTAGTTATTAAAATTTGGACAGGTTATAAGCTTAAGCATAGTTATATATAGTAAAATAGCCATTTATACACAGCCATGTAACATGTCATAATTTCCATGAGGCAACACATGTGATCACTGATATATTATATACAATACATTTTTAACTGCCCAATTGCTTTCTTTGATAAAAGAGCAAAAATTTGATCTTCTACTGATTAGGAGTATTTATGGTTGTTTTTAATGAAATGTTTGTTGCAATTCATGAATTGTAATCATTGTCCTTTGCATATGTTGATTGCAAGCCATTTACATGTGATTTTATTGTGTAAACTATATGTAAAAACTGTGCAATAAATTATTTTTTATAATGCAAATTTAGTATGTTTTACTTTTTCATTAGCTTTCCCTTTTATCACTTCTGGATAATTCTAAATACATGTACAAAGTATGAAAAAGACATGAAAATATACCATGTTTAAACATTGACCCATAGACCTTGGTCACGGCATAAAATATTCTCATTATTTTGCTCCCGTGTTAAAAATTTCAAATTATAATAACCTATCATTTTTTCCAAGTTAAGTTTCTCTTAGCCTTTTCTACCACATTGCCAAAACAAACTTATTAACATTTTTTTAAAATAAATAACAACATCAAATTACATATATTACAATATAATATTTATTTGTTATCATAAACCCTTATAAACACGAAATATATATAAATAATCCTATCGTTTTCATTCAATATATTGTCTCACTGACATATTTCCAATACATGAAATGAATATCCACATTTGATATGGATGATTCTTGTTGCTGGGTTATGTGGTTGTGGGTGCCTTTTCTTGTTGATCGTGTTTATCATCTTTTAATCAATTATAATTAAGTGTTGTTTTGTTTTAATCTTTTATCATACGACTATAATGTGACGTAATGATAAAGTCTTTTTATCAATTTGAAATCATTTATTGCAATATTACTCTTCCGTGACCTTTATCAATAGTTTTAAATGGGAGTGCATAAATTGTGTCTTTGATAAGAAGAATGAAAGTTAAGCACCACGAATAGCGACCTAGTTTTGTACATGCATCGCAAATAAAAGATTACCAGTTACTTCTCAAAGCAAGACATAAATGCATTTTCCTATCAATGAGATTTTCTTGTGTGTAAAACAAAGTTACTAAGCAATGCAGTATGATTTGAAATTAGATTCTTTTTCTTTCATGAAAGAAACTTCTTTTCCTTTGATTAAGCTACATGTCTTGACACTAGATGACCAGTACTAAATGATGTTTTACTTTTGTTTTTACATATTATATACCACAATAAGAGCAAGAGAAAACGCAACAGTTTTTAGTGTCTTAATATTAATGCCATGCGCATTAGATGTTAGAGTTTTTGTAGCTTTCCAGCTGGCTTACGAATATCAATGGCTCAATCATGCTCGAAATAAGTCACGAAGGGGCTTATATGTCTGTCTGCAATGGAAAGTCATAATATGACCTTTACTGTTTTGGTTCAACGTTAAACACAACAACAACATCAAAATGTTCTAATGTCATATCTTTATTGAAAGTTATAAGGATAATGTGGTGTCACATGACTGTTTATTTTCTCATGAAAGGAATATTGTTTTTACGACTTCTAGTATCTGACATTTAAATCATGTGTTAAATCTGTGACATTTCTAACCAAGTTTGTGAGATAAGTGACGTTTCTATCCAAGTTTGTGAGATAAGTGACGTTTCTATCCAAGTTTGTGAGATAAGTGACGTTTCTATCCAAGTTTGTGAGATACGTGACATTTCTAAACAAGTCTGTGAGATAAGTGACGTTTCTATCCAAGTTTGTGAGATACGTGACATTTCTATCCAAGTTTGTGGGATAAGTGACGTTTCTATCCAAGTTTGTGAGATACGTGACGTTTCGTCTACGTTTGTAGGACATGTACAGTGACATTTCTATCGCAATTTGATATTTTTGTGAAAAATTAAATAAATTTGTAAAGTTCATGACAAAACCATCACACTTTGTAAAATGTAAGACATTTCCATCACATGTACATCTGTTTCAGAAAAACTAATGTTTGTTGAATGTACATTTATATTTTACATAAAATATTTGCATCACTAGGCTGATCAAACTCCATAAAGGGTTAACCTATCAGCAACAGAAACAAAACTTCTGTAACAAGTACCTATAACATTTGAACGATGATGTGAAAAAATCGCAAAAAAAATCGCATGTACCATTTTTTTGAAAAATGACATTGATTTAAGGTCCCAAATCCCGATTTTTGAGGGAAATAATAATGTAAAAAAAGCCTTTTACAACGCCTATAGGCCTATAGTATTACTGTTAAAGGCTTTAATTCTTCACTGTTTGTTTGAACTCGCTAATATAATGTGTGATTGTCCTACTGTGGGTATTTTTCATGCTGTTTAAGCATTTGTTTACTTTTTGACAGGGTAAATAATGTACCCCACCCACTATTTAATACAAATGTTGATACAGAAACTTAATGGAAAATAAACCATTTACTTTGCATTCAATGTGACCAAATAAACAATAAAATATCACCATCGTTATCAATGTAATTATTTATTTTTTTCATTCATTGTCTTGTATTATTTACTTAGGCGGCTTGAATTTGTAAGTGCATGTATGCGCAAGTACACAATGTCCATTATTGTAGTGGTATAAACACATCATCATAAGCAGTCGACATAAAAACACGGCATAGCCTACTGATAAAATTTAGCCGGATGACTGAAATTCTGCTAATTTGGCATTATTACACTGTATTTTAAGGTCCAGGGGAAACAACTCTGACAATTGACAAAAAATAAATACACCACAATTATTGACCTTGTTAAAATCAGAATGTATGATTTATATTTCGATGCACTGCCCGCTACCTCTATCAGTTTGACCTTGTACAAGAAATACAAGGACTATTTTAGTAAATGCATGTATGTGTACGATACATGTACAGGTCAATATTCCGTGGAATTATAAATTGCATAATTTTATAAGTGTAGTTATGTCAAAATCTATCAGTATTTAACTAACACTGTCCATTGATGTGGTGACTTTAATTGAAAAAAAATCTTTGCTGAATCAAAGAAAATCTGAGGAGATATGTGATACTACTGTATGCGTGTATGTATATTCCCTGAATAAATCGATACGATACGATAAAAAGTCTGAGTCAGGGGCTCGTCTTATCAACGGTCGTACGACCGTTTTTATCGTACGATTGTCGTACGTCGATCGTACGATTATGGCGGTGTCTTATCGTGCATTTTTTCTACGATCGCCGAGAAGCAGTCGTAGATCAAACAAATGGCTGCCGTGCTTCCTGTAAATGCTACAAGGCCGTAGAAAAAGAAAGTTTTTCAGGCATCAATTGCAACTATTGGATTGCCCGAGTGGTCATTTAGTTGTGGCCGACTATCAGCTTGGTTAATTAAGAAATAACATCGGCCTGAGAGTTGTATATCGCCATTATCGGTTATTTAACACCGGTTTTGGAGTTTTGATGCGTAGGAATTGACCACGAAGGCCGTAGGCCTGAGTGGTTAATTTTGTCGCATCAAAACGACAAAACCGGTGTTAAATAGCCGATATACACCTCTCAGGCCGATGTTATTTCGATTCTAACACGATGAAATAAGGAAAATCACTAATGTTATTTTTCAAGCGGAAATAACTTCCGGTGCCGATTTTCGTATAACGCTGTTCGATTTTCGCACCCTACTGTTGCGAAGATATAGAAATTACTAAACAAAAAAAATAATAAGAAAAAAACACGTTAATTTATCAAGTTTTCAACAATAAAAACTTACGGATTGGCGCCGTTTTGTCAAAATATTTATTAACTGATATGGATCCAATATGTGGCGTTAGTGTATGTGAGATATTATTTCGGTATTGTATGAAAAGAAAACATTATACGAACTGAAAATATAAATAAAAATGCTTTTTATTGTTGCTTTAAAATGCTTTGAAAACTATACAATCGAGGGTGAAAACATAACAGCGCATATACAAGTAGTCCCTAACCGATGTTTATTGGCAGTTTAACACCAGTTTTTTTCCTTCTTTGTCTATAGTGACAAAATCACGTGAGTGTTAGAATTTTCATTAAAGAAACCGATGATCTTAAGATCTTGATTAAGTTTCAACAACTTAATTGCATATTATACTTTAATTAACAAATTTTGAAACTGCTTAATAATATTATTTATAAAATAAAAATGTTGCTTACAATAATTCTCACCATGAGAGAAAATGATATAAATAATATTAATAATATTCCTGTGTAGTAAAAAAATGAAAATAAATATATGATTTTTTTGAGGGGGTGTGGGGGGTGTCAGGGGTGGAAAATGATGGAAACGGTACGAGTGAGAACTGCCAGATGGAGGAACTGGTTAGGGTGAGAATAGTCTGTCATTCATCCAAGACATGTGTGTTTCTTTTTCTATCTGAAAGATGAGCAGTTTGTTCTGAAATGTGAAACAGTAAATTTATTCATGTAAAAATAGAAATTAGAAAGTGGTAAATGATGATTTATCTTTATATTGCTTTAATCTAGCCCCAATAAACACATTTTGATATAATGTAAGACTGTTATTAATTTTCTTTAGTACTAAACAACAAATAATGTAAAAAATCAAATATAACTACATGTACATGTACAAGTTGGCTTGTAATACATGTCTGCAAAATTCATTTTCACTATTTATCTATATTGTCTGCGTTTCTCGCAAGTACTATATACGCTTTAGCGTGTGCATTTTACTCTAGGTTTATTAGCAGTATTGAACATAATTATAGTAAAATGCAGACAATATAGAGTATATAGTAATTGCAAGAAACGCAGACAATATAGCTATATAAAGTGATTTGATATTGTATATATTATATTGTTTTTTTTAATGATAATTATATTTATATTTTTACATCACATTGTTTTTTTTAATAATTATAAATGCTTTATAACATTGTTTTATAAAGTTACTACTTATCACACACCCGTGCCGATTTTGCGACTCCGTAAATATGGTATTGCACGGCCGTGCATATATTTTGACGTGACGTCATTAGCGTTATACAAACATAGGAGTGTGACTAAAAAAAAGGATTGGAGCACCACACTAAATACCGTATTCCGGTATATACCGGACAAGGCGCTTGAACTATAAAATGCTAAAATCTTGCTTTTTCACCCAACGGAATGAACTTTAAAACGTCTTATTCATCTTTTCACACCGATTTATGTCAGATAATGAATGAAAAATGTAAAAATCGGCGAAAAAAAACGATATTTGTCTGTTTTATGTCATGATTTCTTGCTCCAATTAATC